ATGCTGACGTTGAGAGCCATTGTGGGGAACCCCCAGCAAATGAACCCGACAGGACACAGCGACTTCAGGTGCTGGGAGTAACAGACCCGAATCGGGGTGGGCTGGAAGTGGGTGGGTGGAACTGGAGGGACGTGCTTGGGCTGACAGGAGCCCAGAGGTCAGCAGGGCTGGGAGAGGGCAGGATTCTGAGGGTCCTGGCCCTTCCCACTGGGACCCACCACACTTTAATGTTGCAGCCCAAGTAAGTGCCCACAGATGTCTCTGGCCTGAGACAAATTTCCTTCTTTTTAAAGTCTGCTTTGCATTGATGACCAGCCAGGCCTTCCGTGATCATGCTAACCTACAACCACAGGGTCCTCTGTCGTGAGACCTTGGCTCCTCCATGTTCAGGTCCATTTTACCAGGGGCAGGAGGCCAGAGTCTTGCACCCCAGGTCCGTGACCTGCTGCCATGGAGGTCCAGGGTTACCAGACCGCTGCTGGCTGGCTCCAAAGTCATTGGTGCAGCAAAGTAAGGTCGATGCCTCACTGCCTCTGCCCACCCCCAACCCCCACCACACCCCATCTTCATCATCCCCACCCCCGCAGGCTTCTCCTTATCTGGGCAGGGCTCGCTCCTGGCCCTGCTGACCTCTGGGTCAGGATGTATCTAGCCCACCAGAGGGCTCCGGAGGTCAAGCACATTAGCTTCAGGGCAGGGGTCCTGGGCCGCTTCTCTGCCAAACATTTCAGTGAGGTGATTTTTACAACATCGCACAACCACTTCCACCTGGGTCCAGAACTGTCCATGACCCTAAAAGGATACCCATCCACTTTAAACCGTCTCCTCCCACTCTCTGATCCTCCAGCCCGGGGCAGGACTCACCCGTCTCTCTGGATTGACCTACTCTGGATGCCCCAATCAGACGCAATCACGCTGTAGTCCACTGTGCTGACTTCTCCCACTCAGCATGGGGTTCCCGGGCCCCTGCAGGGGCCAGGGCTTCCGCTTCCTCCTTGTGCTTAACGGGAGCGCAGCGGGGGCTATCCCTCTTGAGCTACCCTGGGAAAGGCCGCCATGCACAAGTGTGGCCCGGCTTTCGACGCTTTGGGGTGCATACCGAGCTGGAACCTCTGGGTCCCCAGCAATTGTGTGACTCAGTGTTCGCCCGGCACCCTGTCCCAGCTGCGCACTGCTGCTTGCCTGGTGCGATGGTCCTCGCGACAGAGGCGGCCGGCGACACGCCAGGCTTCTCACTCTAGGCCTGGGCTCCGAGGCAGCAACATCTGGGCCTGGCCTTCCCCTCCCCTGCCCTGCCCCTCTGCTCAGCCTGTGATGAGGACACAACCTGGGGCCCCTCTGAGAAGCACTGGTACCCTAACTGACCTTCCCACGTCCTCAAATCCCTCCCAGGCCTCATGGGGACTTTTGTTTTTTCTTTAAAAAAAAAAAAACAAAATGCCTATAAAGTTGGATTCCAAGGTGCAAATGACAGAATGAGAAATCACAAGCCACACACTTTAGAAATATCCAGAAGACCCACAGCGTGTTAGTGGTTCTGACACCCCCAACCCCTGAGCCCTACATTGTTGGGCTGTGTACCGCGACCCCACTCCCACGAGAAGGATTTCACCACCTCAGGTGAGAGTGAAAATATTCTGCAAATTTTTCTCCAGCACGGCTGGGCAAAATCTTTTTCCATTATTGGTAAAGTTCCTTTCCTCCTACAACACACATTGGCGCAGACATAAAGTTTTAGAACTGTTGTCAAATGTGGGGAAACAGTTACCCAGTTCCTCCTGGGAGCTGAAGGTTCCGGGACGCGCCCAGAACCCTAAGCTCGTCTTCGCGGCTGTGCGCACTGAGCCGCCTGCGCCTTCCTGACATGCGCATTCCTGTTTTGAGCCGGCGTGGGCGAGAATTGCATCTTCCTCTTTTAAGTCCGCACATGCAAGGCCGGAGGACTTGCTACAGTCAAGCTTCGAGCCCCAGACACGTCAAGGCTCTTCGTTTCCTCCGCGACTCATCTCCTTCCTTGCCAGCTTCCGCAGGCCCACTCCACACGGTGACACCCTTGAGTCACAGCACGGTGGGAGACTCATGGCACGGTGCCACCAGCCACGACAGGGTGGCAGCAGGAGTCTCGCTGGATGCCACCCCTACCCTGGGGGGATCATCAAGGACCCACTAAATGAGGGAGAGTCACAAACCACCCAAATAGACCTCCCACACTCCAAACTCTTTCTGCTTCAGCTCCCAAAAACGCCAGGGTGGCATCAGCAGCACCCGCGGAAGCGGCAGGCTGGAAAGAGGGCTGGCTTGGCGCCCTTGCAGTTCAAGCAGGCGCTCACAAATGCACACCTCTTGGGCGGGAGAGCCCATGCCAACGCCACTGCAGCGACCAGGAAGGGGCCTGGTGAATGAGGGGCGGTCAGTACACCCCAGCTCTCCATGCCCCAGTCCCCACACCCTGCTTCCCAGACAAAACAGTGTCCGCTGGTTCCGCACCAGCCCCGTCGGAAGGATCCCTCCCTGCGCGCTCGGCTGGGTCACTGAAATGTCTTCCCATTTAAAAATAAACTCTTGTTCCCACTATCGCCTCACAACTGCCCATTTCCCTGCTTCTATTACAGCAGAACTACCAGCGAAAAAGGCCCTAGGCATCGGACTAACCAGTTTCTCCTGGCCAGGGGCCAAAAGCCAAGGGCAGGGGGCGGGGGGGGGGGCACGGACACTGAGGGCCACTCCCTTCTACTTGGAATGCTGGGACTCAAGGCCGCAGTCTCCCTGGACTCGTGGTGCTGGGATGTCCTTGGCACTGCCCTGGCTCATCTCTCGGCCCTGCCTACACCCTTCCCTGCCTCGGTGGCTCAGCCAGGCTGGGCACTTCCTGCGAGCAACACGTGGGCCTCCAGCCAGAGGGCCCCGCCCAGTCTGCTGCACATTTGCTCTGGGGGTCTACACCTCAGCTGTCTCTTCTGAGACACACTTCTGTGTGCCCTGCTGGGGCGGCGTCTCTCCGTAAGGGGAGTTTTTGCATTTACCTCCACCTTCCTAAGCAACAGGAACTTCCCTGTTGCTCAGTGACAGGGAGGCAGCCTATTCACAGCACGCGCGTGCACTTTTCCTTGTCTCCTACAGCGCACCAACATTTTTACCAGATCAACATTCATCATTATTTTGTTTACATTGAGTTATGAATATTCTTCACAACTGAGTGACCTGGGTCTATGCTTCCCCTTCCCTCAATTTTTTTTTTTTGCTAGGTTTTGTCCGTATTTGTTTATTTTCCTGTCTGCCTCAAATTCAAGTCCAAACACTGAGGGAAGTGTTAAGTCAGGGGACCCACCAGCCCGCGGGCCTGGCACCCTCACTGCACAGTGCATGAGCCCTTGGCGCATCTGGGCAGCCCCCGCTGCACTTGCGCAGGTTTCCAGGACTCTGGGCCTTTCTCTCTTTTCCCTGGTGCCCTCTTTCAGGTGGTTTTGAGAATGGTTGCAAAGGAGGCAGGTCTCACAGGCTCCTGCAGACTGTTCTTGGGTACCTTTACTGCTCTGGTGCCCACTGGGGTGGCCCCTCAGATCCCCAGGATGTCTGCAGCCTGAAGACTACGTCCCACTCCCAGGAGTGCCTCACTGATCCCCCAAGGCCCTTGGCTCTTCTCGCCACCCCTCCTTGCCAGAGTAACAAAGCCTCCCTGATTAACTGGGAGGAGGAGCTGAGGCAGGAAGATGAACCCCACTGCTCCTGGCCAGGCGCCCCAGCGCCCATCTACTCGTTCACCTCCACTGTGCACCCTTTCCTCGGGGACTTTGCTTTGTCTTCATGTCAAGTGTGTGGTCATTCTCTTTGCCTGAAAGGTGAACATGAGCGCCAGCGCTCTGCTGCAAGCCACCAGTCTTCCAAATAGGATAACCCACAGTTAAGTGTATTTAAGCCGGAGTTCACACAGCATTTGCACTCTGACCCTCCCTCTGGGGAACCTTCATCTTCCTTGGGTCAGTTTGCACCCTGGGGATGCTGCTCCTCCCCAGAGCCCACAAACACTTAGCCTGCACCGCTGGGCCTCAGGCAGGCACTCACATCTTCCATCTCTCCCAGGCACTTAACCTCCTCACCGACAGCAAAGGCTGTGCCCGGAGCCCATCTTCTCCCTAGGGCCAGGGGCCCCTGTGGCACAGCCACCCACAGAAACTAGGGGATCAACTGTTTAGCCTGGGCACTTATCGATATGTGAACCCTGACAGTGCTTAGGGGTTCTATGTACCCACCAGCCTCCCCCCACACCACCTCTTTCAAGCTCTGGTCAGGGAGGCATTTACTGTTTTCTTCTTATTATTATTTTATCTACTATGTGGGTGGCACTTAGGATAACTGGTGAAAAAGAGAATTCCAAACTTTCATAGGATTGGTTTAATTTTCTTTCAGCAGGAGAAAAAAGAATAAAATTACAAGATTCTTTTAATATTTTCACAATGTTAAAACTAAAACTGAGCGCTAGGCTATGTGTGTAAGTAAATCTAGAACACAAAAGGGTTAAATAAGATTTTCTCTTTTAAAGATACAAGAATTTAAGCTTTCCTTACATTTAACAAACTTCACAGAACAGATACTGCAGGGGAACAAGCCCTTCCTCCCCCCCCACCCCCCCATCCCCCAGCTCTACCATCAGGAAGTGAACATGGGCTGTGACTCCTGTGTGCCGCTGGGCTCCCCAGAGCCTGTTTCCCCATCGCTGCCTCAAAGCAGCAGCTGGCGGGGCCTGAGGAGGGCCGGAAGGGCGTGTGGGTGGCTTCTTCAGGATCAGAGCTTGGCAGGGGGCCTCGGTGGGGCGCCTCACTGAGGATGGCCATGCTCTGGCCAGAGGGTCGTGGCTTGACAACAGTGGTAAACACAGGCAGACCTGGCCCCTCTGCCCTGGGCTGCCCTAGAGAGAGACACTGGTCTGGGTCCTGAAGCAAGAATTAAGGCTGGAGATTTTGCAGCGGATTCCACTCTGGTGGGGGTAGGGTGGGAGGAGGAAGTTAGGAAGAGCATGATTTTGTATTTCGGATCAAAAAACATTTGCAGTTGCAGGTATTCAGCTGATAATTTGCAGAGAGTTGAACTGTTTGCTGTGGTATAAAAGGGAAAGTTGCTGGGTTAAACTATTCCAGAAGCCTGTGTGTGGGGAGAGCCAGACAACCTCGGTAGGACTCACCTCCCCTCACCAACCTGCACAGATGGGGGCTCTGGGGCCACTCACGTCCACTCAGGCTTTCAAGAGACTCTTTTCCTGCCTACCCACCCCCTTCCCACCGGATTGGTGATGATTTCCTAACAGCCCCTTCTCCGCTGACCTGGCCTGAGCTACTACTGCAGCTACGGAACTTGGAATTTCTCTCTGCCCACATGAAGAGGCACAGGCTGAGCAACACACCCCCCCACCCCCGCCAGCCAGAGCAAGTGTGTCCCTAGGAGCTGGGTCACAGACCATGGTTCCAGTGAGGGCGAGCCCGCTGTCCCTGGGAATCCGCTGCCTCGCGGTACTAAGCTCGCTGGGTGGGAGATGTGCGCCGCTGTGCCTGGACTACGGGGCAGCACAGCAAGGAGGGGCAGAGGCCACGGCATCATCCTCGGCCCCTCTTGGGGCTCAGCAGGCCCCACAGGAAAGGGCGGACTCTGTGGGCAGCAGCTTCCCTCGTTGATCCCCAATGCTTCTACTGATTCCTGTTGGCTATGAAACGTCTTTTGAGAGTTCCCAATACAGAAATCCAGCTGCAGAGGCCAGCTCGTGGGCCTCGGCGCAGCGGCCGCGCTGCAGTTAGCCTTATCTGACCAATCGCCAGATCCCTGCACTTGGCAAATGGCAACCAGAGCCAGCAGGCCGGGTGCTCCCCTGGTTGCTTCTCGTGACCATGGTCCTGTGTAGAAAAGGTGGGTCTCATTCGTGGACTAGTCTTGAATGGAGCTAATTTTCAAAGTGAGGTTACTGTTTCTCCTCATGTGATGAGAGAGTTTTTTTCCATAGCAAGTCAGGTAAAAAATTTCCGTAAGAACCTGTCCCCCCACCCCAATTTCCAGCTCTGTGGGAGAGTGAGGCCACCACCCAGCTCAGCCCAGACACGTGCCTATCTCAGCAGCCTCCTGTGGCCAAGGCACGCGTGGCCATCAGGCATCCTGGCTACTGAGACTAAGGATAAGTGAAGAGGTGAAAGGCCGAACATCAGAGTTTCTGGCAAAGCCATGTGCGTCGTGGGGACTTTAACATCAGCTTCTACTCCTCTATTAACTCAGAGTCTCCATCTGGAACACTTTCCGCTTAAGGCTTTTTATAAGTTTGACTCCAGCAGTGACAGGTATGTGTTGTTTTAAATCCACTAGCCATGCTCAAAAAAAATATTCTTCATGTTTTAATTTATACAATGGCTAGCAGGCACCTTAGTAACCAGCCAGAAATCAATTTCAACCACCATCAACCCCTAAACTACAGTACCAGGATGGCTGGCTAAAGAAAGGAAACGGACTGGCTGTAGTCTGACGCGTGCCCAGTACAAGGTGTCTGGCTGACTTTGTCCTAAATAAGGCTAACATTAGTGAACTAAGAACAGCGTCACGTGGCGGCCGTGCCCGGCCTTCAGGAGCACCCCTCCCCGATGCGCTGGCAGGAGCGCCCCACTTTCCGGTCCAGTTTCACCATTTTCATGATGGCTTCCTCTCGGCCACGGCCCATGTGGTCAAACGTACAGTCGTGCTGCTCCGGGAGGCGATGTAACATACAGAACACGTAACCTGCAGCAGCGGGGAGAAGCGGAGAAACATAGTTAGTGCAGCCTCTAAACACCCAAAGCTCAGCTCTCGGCCTGGCCCAGAGGACAGGAGGGCACCTCAGTGAGCAGACAATGGTCATGGCAGGGTACCCACTCCATTAGCTAGAGAGCCAGCACTTCCGCGCTGCCCGGCTCCTCCTCAGGCCACTCTCACGGCTTCAGGTTGTCTGAGGGACACGACCCTGACCAGAGGCTGCCTCCGCATTTGATGCTGCTCCTGTCCAGCCCTGAAGTGGAACCCCAAAGGCACCTGCTGCAGTGAGATATACCCCTTCCCTAGGAAATGAGTGGGCTCTGAACCCCCTCTCTCCCAGCCACCCCACAGACAGGAGTGCACCGAGCTGCCACCTCAGCACTTTCGCTGACTGGGGCAAACGACAATCTCCATGCCACAGGACCCCGCCATTCCTAGAAGGCAGAGGGGGCAGAAATAATATTATGGCTTGAAGTATATCCCACCTCCTAAAAAACTATGGCTGAAGGGAATGGTGGGAGTGATCAAACCATAATCTGCGAGGGAGTAGCTCTCAAAGGAAAATGGATTAGTTCAAGTGCTGGAAAAGGTATTACAAAGAGAAAAGAATGGAGATGAACTCTAATCACAATCTCCAAGGAAGCTGCTGCTTCTTGCTCTACCTGGTCTAAGGTTGAAGTCCCCACACTCATGCCTTCCCACTTGCCTTATTCCTCAAAGAGGTGGGGAGGCTGTGCACTCGCCCTCCCTTTATGGAAGAGATATCAGACTGAAAGAGTGGCGAGGCTGGTAACAAAGGATTGCGGAGAGGCCTGCAGAGCAGGAAGATGTTCAGAAGTCCCGCTTCATGGGACAGTAAGAGGTTCCCTAGGGACTCAACAGAGAGGTTCAGAAGATGAAAAGGAATGCAAGGGGGTGTTGCCTGTTCCCTCCCCACCTCTGGTCAACTTTTAGGAATACTGACAGATGTGTGTGTATGTGGGGCAGACATGCCTGCTGCCCCCTGGATCTGTGTGAATCCCCCCTTCCCCCCCCGGGAAGGGGAGAGTCGATCTGGGCTGGGCAGACACTGACAGTGGCTGGCTGGCTGGCTGGCTGGCTCCTGACCACCACCGATGCCATTGTTTGTAACTTGCTTGTAACCAGAACACCCCACAGGCTAGACAGGGCCACCAGTTTGGAGGTGAATCGCCATCTTTTTCTAGCCCTTCTGTCCCTCTGCACCTACAACAGGCCTCCCAGCAGCCCAGCCAGACCAGTGCCTCCTCACTCATTCCCCAAGCAAATGGCATCTCTTCTCTGAGACTTCTTAGATCACAACTGCCAGAGTGAATGGGTAGCTACCCCTTTGCAAGCAGCTCCCCACCCTCAACTTCTTTTCTTTTCAGAGATGGAGGATGGAAGTAGTGGGTTTTAGAACATCAGAGGTTGTAGCAAAGACTAACCAATATGGACAACGGTTTCAATAGCCTTAGCTTTTAAGATTAACTTCATCGCAAGAATGTAACTCAGCGACACAGCCCTGCCCTGAAGCCTGGTGCTTATGTGCTCACCACCTGTGGGCCTGAGTGACCGGCAGATCCTCAACCATCCATTGTGTGAGAAAACACATTATTAACTGCTTCCCAGGGAGAGCAGGGCAGTATGTCTGACTCTAAATTGGGATTGGGTTTAAGGAAAAGAACAGAGATGAAATTTTTGTCTCCCGAGAAGCTGAGCTCCCACTTGGTCCAAAAGCAAAGTTAAGATTAATGAGCTCATGTGTTATATTTACTGATAAGTTCATTACTCTAAGATATTGGATACCAGTTGTCTTCCTCCTAAAGGATTTCACAGCACAAGTGTGGATGGCGTCAATACGCATTTTTCATCTATAAGCACAAGCCTCTTTTTGGAGCTAAGTCCACCTGGCGGGGGAGAACCTGCTGCCACATTGGGGCCTTGAGGAGGAGGACACGACGAGCTCAGTGGCAGGCCTGTCTCTTCAGCGCTGATAGTGAGGGCTGGCGGGTCCCTGCTACCCTTTTCCTTCCCTGTCCCTGCCATGCTGGAACCATGTAGGAGAAGCTCCCTGGGGCTCTTTTCCTTCTGATGAATGATGCTGGCTAAATAAAGAGTAGCAGGAAGTAACAGGAAATGGATCACCCCTGAAATTAACTCAGCCTGGCTGAGCCTAACACCTCATCAGTCAAAGGCAGACTGGGGTGGAACAGGAGATGCCAGTTTTGCCTTCACTTGCTTAGCTCGCCTTCCGCGAGGGAAGCTACTTGGTGGAGCTGAGTCTCAGGTGGAAAGAAAACAGGGAGTAACAGCCACAGCAACTCGTCAGTATTCTCTCTACTCACGAAGGACTTTCATTCACTGAAAACACTTATTTCTCTCCCTAAGGTCTGTGTACCTGTGTTAGACACACCTTGATGTTTGGCTTTGACTTTTTTGAAAGGTGAAAACCACTAAATGGGAGCTACATCTTGGAAGAAGAGCTGGTAACAATTAGAATATATAACATAGTAACTCACCGGGGGAAAGTCTGAGGGGGAAATCTGAAGGCTGGCTTCTCAAGTTGCTGCACTAAGGTTATTAAATGACATAAATTAAACTCAATTCCCTCTCCTGTCACAATCACTCACCAAGAGGAAGTTACACGCTGGAACTTGTTCCAGTGCTCAGTGGATATTACCCACTGACAGCAGCCGCTGGCTAACTGCACTCGGTGTGAGTAGTTAGGGGTGGACTGTCCTGAATTCAAAGAGGGTGAGTGCAGAGTACAGTGACTGGGGTGACTCTTTTTTTTTTCTTACCCACAGAACTATTTCTAGAAACCACTGCAAAGATCATGAACTTTCAATTACTCTGAATGAATTCTGGAGACCAAGCTGGGGGTACAGAGAGAGATGAGTTAGGCTGCTAGACAACGGCTGCTAACTGCAGTGACGCACACAGCTGTGAAGCCCCTGAGGATCTAGACACACAGCCTCACTCCTGGCTAGGCGAGCTCAACTTCCTTCACCCCATTCATCAGCAGCCTATCAGGGCTCCCCCAAATGGTTAAGTATGGCAGTGTCCAGAGGGCTGAACCCTGACTTGCTGACTATGATGCAGGTTTGGTCTTACCAACCAGGGTCCCATGTAATTATTTTTTTCCTGATTTAAACGAGTAACATATCAGAATTGAATTCACTTGCCCCTACACATCCACAATCCATTTCTACACTCTCATTATTCAGCATCACATAATTTAAAAAATTCAATATAATTTTGCTAATAATATCTATATACCATACAGTGCAGAGAGAGATACAGAGAGAGAAGGGTAAAAAATATCATTAAAAGAATGCTGCCTGTGCCCCACCAAGAAGAAAACACGCAAGGCACATTTTCTATTGTTGTGCTAGGTCTTAAAAGGACAGGTTTATTAGGGGAAGAGAAAGGAAAGAGAAGAGCCTGCATAGCTGCAGGCAGAAGACTCAAGGCCAGTTTTCTCAAAAAAAAAAAAAAAGAGAGAGAGAGAGAGAGATTTGATTGCTAAATGTAATATAACCTCAACCCTCTTCCTTGCTGCCTGCCCAAGCCTGGCTGTCCTGTTCCTGGGAGCCCTGGATTATCAGTATTGCAGACTCGTTTTCAGTAAATGGACACAAAGCACACACACATACACCAGCTTGTGGGGAGCATCTCTGCTTATCAACACTGCAGAGTGATTTGGAATGAGCCGCTCATGTAGAAGGAGGGAGAGCAGCAGCCCCCCAGCACTGTCCACGGCCCACCCTCAGGTCCCTCTCTTCTTGCCACTATCTGGCTCCCCACAGCCCACACTGGGCATGGGAAGAGAGAGCAACTGCAGAAGGTGGTACCAGCTGGCTCCTGCTGACTGAGCTGTCCAGAGGGTCTCTGGCGGCTACACGGTCTGTTTGAAAAGACTTTCTTCAACTGAGGAGGCAGCACTGGGAAGGGAAGCAGAGGATGCCTGACCAGAAACCACAGGGACTTAAGTCATCCTGGGAGCTCAACCCAGCTTGTGGCTATGGAAAGCAAGAGACTGAGGGTGAAGGAGGGGTGGGCACAGGCAAGTAAATAAATAAAATTTAAGACCTGGTTTAATCTTCTGTCCTGCAAGAATCTCATGTGAATGAGGAACGGAGAAGGCGGCACTCATGCCACTCGCCCTGACTTGAGGGCGACGCGTTCTTGTGAGAGGACAGGCACTGCAATGGAAGCTACCCCCAGGCAGCGAGGAACACATCTGACGTGGCCCAGTAGGCTGGGCTTCCCATACACCTGAAGGTGCCCACTCTACCGGGCTCTAGCAACACACTCCCAGCAGAAAATGATGCCGAGGCTCATTTACCCGAAACAGAAAGATCTGACATCAGGTTTCTAAAAATGTTTATTTAGTGGGAACCAAACTTTTGACCTGACTCTTCAACTTAGAAAGTTGACAATTGTAGGTCACACATTGCCATTCAGATGCTCTCACCTACGGCTAAACCTTCTAGTCACACAGTGAGGGGTGTAGGGTATTCTGAGATTAAACACACATGGAGAACAATCTCACAAACACTATCATTAAGTAAAGATGCATAGCACCCAACACCTTGCTCTAAGCATATAAAACTTGTAACAATATTTCCTGTTGAACTTGTTTACCAAATTCAACAATAATCACTGCCCAAGAGACACTCAGGGCTTGAAGAGAAAGGGTCTGTGTGTCTGTGTTCTCTCTCTCCACAGTGCTGGCAGGCAGGATCCTGAGCGCATCTGAACCAATAACTGCCTCAAGGGTTACTCCCTTCTCTCCACTGCTCCCACTCTATAAATATGCAGGCCACAAGGAATGAACCCTATATGGTGGGATGGGAGTGAGGAGAGTGGGTGAAAGAGTAGCTGAAGGGAGAGGGAGGGAGCCATCTTGACATCCTGAAGGCAGGGAGCCCCTATACCCTAGGTCAGCGCTTTCCTCTAAATCACGAGAATTGAGCAGGGGTTGA